AAGCACGTGCGAGTCTAACAAATACAAGAGATTGGAGAATGTGTCGGTTGCACATAAAATACATAGGCCTATTGTACATGCTGCCAAAAACACAAAAATGCAGAAAAGGCCTCAAAATATTGGTTTACACATAAAAGCCAATAATGCAAAACAAAGTAACAAGAGTGGAACTGGCATAAGTGTAGAATTCTGTGATAAGGGCCGATCCAGACTGATAGGGATGCAACGTCCCAGCAGACAGGCGGAGATACTCGATTAAAAAAAGCAACCTCCCCAGTACACGAGAAACAAAACTCATTTCGTCTGAGTGCAACTGCAACACAACAGTGATGCTCCAAACCACTACACCACAGACGCCAGATATCAATTCAACTTGTATTTATTTATTTTTAAATCAGAGCACGCATAAGTGCAGTAATTAAGGTGATGTGTGGGTGACGGGCTCTCCGACTTCAATGTCCATCTCCGCAGGAAAAAAAAAAGCAAGTGGGCGAAGAGCTTTAAAAAACGCTCCAAACAATCATAGTTCAAGATAATTCCATTAGGGGTTTTGAACCATGGCCATCTGTACCGAAGCCCAGCATGATACTGGCTGTGCCGCGTGCTACCAGCTAGCCCAGAATCCAGTGTATGAACGACTACCTCATCCCCAGTAGCAATGCTACTAAAAAAAACAACAACAAAAAAACCTCAACCACAACAGAAATCTACGGTAACTTAGAAAAAGAACGCAAGTGTTTTTTACGCCCACATTGACACAATTAGGTCAATTAGGAGGTAGGCTTCAACTCTGCCTGTCAGGGCCAATTCGGACTAAAAAGAGGGATACAACAACGTCCCGGCAGAAAGACTGAGATACATGAACTCAATACAAATTCTCCCCACACTGGAATTGAATTTTGGTCTTCTATGTGTGACAGTGGAGCGCCTAACCGCAAGCCGCAAGACCACAGATGCCGGTTACAGTACCGTAGTTAGGTGCTTTGGGGGGGGGGGGGGGGGGGGAGGAGCAAAACTACGAAATAATACAGGGGGAATAGAAAAAGTAGGAAACATCAGGGTTTAAAAAAAAAGTTTTAGTAACATTAGAAAGCACTTGCAACACAGAGATACATGTAGTATCTAGATATGAGTGCCAAAGATTAGAGGTTTTCCTTGAGTGGGACTTATACTGTCCCCGGGTTTTATGCAACAACAAAAAAATAATAAAAATAAAGAATGTTCAAGGAAAAATAATCAGAAATTATGCAAAAAATGATAAAATTTTGCTAAGTTATGCGGGGTACATAAAACCCCGGGGACAGCTTACTTTATGTGCCCCAAGACAAGGAGAAGAGATTAAGGGAGATAGATGTTTGATAAAAAGGAATCATGAGCAAAGTAGGTTACACCAGAGTCCGCCAACCACCCACCTGTCACTGCATGTACTACATTGTTTCAGTCACCAGTGGCGCCCTTCAACCAACCGTAGGCAAAGGCATTGCTATCCGAACAGCATCCACGTCGCTAAGAACGTGTGATCAGTTTGTTAAGGCCTAACTGTACTATTTCAAGGCCTCATGGTCACAATTTTAGGGCATTTGATTTAAGAGGCAGACTGCTTTGATTCTGCCTTTCAGGGCAAACCTGAGCTTTCCACACCTATCAAAGGAAAGGTAGGACTGAATTTATTAATAAGGATAAGGCTAGATCGACAATATTACATTCTTGAACGTAATTACAGTCAAACCTCTTTGTACGCCCCCCCCCTCCCATCATACCGCAAAGTTTTGCCAATGAATGAAAAGGAGCACCAATATAAATAGTATTTGAGCCTTCAACAAACCGCCATCCACCAGTTGTCTGGGTTGTACGGTCCTTACTTAATTTATTATGTACCGGTAAATTTGCCTTGCCAACTGACCACCAGGGTACACAATGCGCATAACACTTGATAATCTTTCATTTTCTCCAACGAGAAAGACATAGTATAGAGATAGCGAAAGAGAAGACTCTTGGCTCTGAATACATCATGTGCATGTAGGCCCTATGTGTGTATCACCAACAAAAAGACACTTTCCAAACACAGATTGGACAGCAGAATCATGTTCCTTGGTGTTGGGCAGTGGGGACTAGAAAAACAAGAGAACCCCGTTGAACCACCAGTCTCGCTGTTCCGCCAACTTCATGTTCGTCACAAGGGTTGTAGTAAGTGAGGTTTGACTGTATGGTTAACAATATCTCTACCAACACAATTTAGATCATTGAGAAGTTGGGATGCTTTGACCCTGCCTATCAGAGCCAACGCAAATTGAGAGAGACACAAATGTCCCATCACTCAAAAGGAGATACATACATTTATACAAACTTGATTTTAAAAAACCTCTCCATTTGGGAATTGATCGAATGTCTTCTGCATTCCATGAAGCCTTGTGTAATAGCTACACCATAGACGCCCATAGGTCATATAAAAACATGACGGAAGGATTTTTTTCATCAGATCATTTTTTCCCCCAAATTTTTAAAAGAGAATTTCAAAACTAAAATCTAGCAGTAGCAGTATGATATCCCCCCAAGCTAATGAGAGCTGCCTCAAGTTTCAATGGATATAACACATCTATCAAAGATGGCAAACAATGACTTGTAACATTTTTAAAAATAGGTTAGAGAAAATATGAGGGAAAAAATGGCCAATACTGGCAGACAGACCCATATAGTTTTAGCTATTGCACGTAAAATGAGCACTGACAGACGGTGATGAAAAAGAATCAAATGAGACTTATGCAAAGTAATAATATTTATTAATATCACAGTCTTATATTAATCATATAAAAATAGCGCAACAGCATAAAATTGAAGGCCTACTTTGTAATTTGTTGGGTGATCCCAGACACTCTGTCTCACACACACACACACACACACACACACACACACACACACACACACACACACACACAAACACACACACACACACACACAACTCACACATGCGCGCATGCACACAAGCACGCACACATACACTGAGTCACACTTTGTGTCATGTATTGATGCATTGATACAAAGACAAAATAAACATATTACAATCTTATTTTCTAAATGAGAACTACACCACTAAGTGATAGTAGTAGTAGAGTAATATATACAACCAAACCTTTTTCAATGGCCACCTGTATTATAACATTATAAGACAATCACCTGAACAAATGCCACTTCCCATTTCCTCTTGCATTTTTAATTTTCATTCACTTTTTTGCTCGAAAATGGGTGGCCATCTTAGACAAAGTCTATTGCATTTCATATGAAAGAAAAACACTCAATGACAGATGTGCAGACAAACACACCAGATACTTCTTATCAGTACAACTGGAGGATAAAAGAGGATACAATTTTATGCAAAGCAGCACACACGTATGAAAAGAGATTCAAAGAGATCGATGAAGATGGAGTGTGTGCGATTGACAGTAAATGCTTGAAGTTGAAGGCTAGATACGGGACAAAAGAACTAAGGGTGGAGAAAGAACAATGTGGAGCGATAACATCAAAGCATAAACTGGCCTTAGTATGACAGAGCGTATGACGGAAGATATAACTTGTTCACTTTCGTCTGTCTGCGTTTAAAGATTCTAGCCCATTTCTTTAAATTTATCTGTGACTGCGAAACTTTGCATGACACTTCTGCAGGCCAGCAACCAAACAAAAAAATCTTTAATAAGCCTAGTTCCATTTTTTTTTAAGTTTCACTATTTGGGCCCAATATAAAAAACCACTCGTTGGGTGCATGCACAGGGTCACTTAAATAAATCATTTACAGTGACAGTAACTTAGCCTACAAATTGCTCATTTTGAGACAGCGACACCACCCTGCCCCCTCATTTCAGTGTCAGCGTGTAGATTACTTCCTACGGCTGTCCAGACTTATCCACGAGAGTCTCGAAAAGTGTTCACCCATGTGTTGGACCATGTTTCTTAGAATTTAGAATCAAAGGTGTATATATCTTAATTAAAATGTAGTGTTGATGAAAATATGGTAACCTTTTAGTTTCAGGTGTAAGCTGTAAAAAATCCCCTATTACTTTTTCGCTCGCTTTAGGCAAACATCAAAGAAATTTATGTATTGGAACCTTAGTTTGCAGTGACATTTATGAATGAGTTTTTAGATTCTGTTGGTCATTCAACTTTTAGACTTGCATGCAAAGACCTGGGAAGATTGAACAGAGTGATTTGCTTTTTATCTTGATTTAAATGCGATCAGACGAAAGTGAACAAGCTATAGTGACCGTTAGCAATGGCAGGCCATTGCACATCTACCTCTGAGCTAGAGATGACACCTCCAGGTATCCATTAAATGTCACCAACCAGGGTTGAGTGCAAAACAGCATCCATTTCAAGTAGTAACATTGCAAGAGGCTCTACTCCACAAAATAAGCTTCCCCATACGAAGAATAAAAGAACTCAAATATTTTGCACACCATGGCTATTCTAATCACAGATGACAATGTGTGTTTGATGCTATAACTTGAGTCTGAGTGCTGCCCCAAAAAATGATATGGTTATGAGCTAGAAATAGAGCACTAAAAACTTCTGAACAGGGCAAGGTTCTATATTTGTGTAGTCTACATTAGCAATCATTTATGAAATATAAAATCTTTGCTTTTCTAATATTTTGTACCGTATAGTTGAATTTCAGTTTGCTGATGATCAACATGAATGCTACACCAGAAAGCAAATTGAAAAAAAATGTAATACCAAATTTTTTAAAAAGAGAAGTAGTGTAGGGCCAATATTTTAGCCTTTCACGTCTCCAAAACTTGACTAGTTTTGGGGGCGACTTTCTGGCCAATTGGTTGTGCACGGGTAGCAGTTTTTCCCCGTGCACTGATGAGTACAAACAAGATCGACTGGAGACTAAAAACTCAACGTGAGAAGAGAGAGCGTCAGTCCTAACCGTAACGGAGACAACACACAGCAGTCGCCGGGCGCCCGGGGATCCACGAGATCTACGCCGTTGGAAGTGAAAGGTAACATAAGATTTTCTTGGTAGACACAGGGGCAGAAATTTCCGTTTTTCCTGCTAGTAGACAAGACAGACAACATAAAATAATGTCAGAACCCCTAGCTGCAGCCAACGGCACGCGCATTAGGACTTGGGGTAAAAGAACTTTCACAATTCACTTGGGAACCAATCACATTTATTCCCACGAGTTTGTCTTGGCTGAGGTAACCAGACCTATCTTAGGCGCAGATTTCTTTACCAAACACAACTTAGTGATAGATCTAAGACAAAAACAATTGTTATCATTGGACAAAGCTTCGATCAAGCTTAAAGACAGTCGCCAGATCCTCACAGTGGGCGGTTTGTCCTGGTCGCCGCACAACGAATACTCAAATATCATCGCGAAAGAATTCCCAGAAATACTAATCCCGCAATTCACTTCTCATATCAACAAGCATGGTATTGAACATCATATCGTCACGCAAGGTCCACCCACTAGCGCACGGGCAAGACGTTTAGACACCCAGAAATTAGAGGCGGCAAAAGAAGAGTTTTTCAAGATGAAGAAGATGGGGGTCATTCAAAGGTTCAAGTCGCCATGGGCGTCACCGCTACACATGGTTCCCAAAACAGATGGATCGTGGAGACCATGTGGGGATTACAGGCAACTGAATGGTCAAACACTTGATGACAGGTACCCCCTACCCCACATACAGGATTTCAACATCAAACTCTCAGGGTGCACATTTTTCTCCAAAGTAGATTTGGTCAGAGGTTACCACCAAATTCAGATGTCAGAATCCTTCATCCCCAAAACAGCAATTATCACACCTTTTGGCTTGTGGGAGTTTACCAGAATGCCGTTTGGTTTGAAGAATGCAGCCCAATCATTCCAACGTCTAATGGACGGTGTGCTGAGAGATATACCCTTCACGTTCGTTTATCTGGATGACATTATAGTGGCAAGTCATTCTGAAAAGGAGCATAAAGAACACCTCAGGGTATTGTTTCAAATCCTGAAAGACAATGGGCTAGAGATCAACAAAGCTAAATGTATTTTTGGAGTACCGACGCTGGATTTCCTGGGACATTGCATCACCACGAAAGGTATTTTTCCCATACCAGACCGCATCAACACACTCCGCAACTGTGAGCCACCAAAAGATCGTACAAGTCTACAACGTTTCTTAGGCATGATCAACTATTATCACAGATTCCTGCCCAACATCGCCTCACATTTGGCTCCATTACATGCCCAAGCAAGTGGTAAAGGACAAAAGATTGAATGGGATGACAGCTGTCAAGCAGCTTTTGACAAAGCGAAGGCAACCTTAGCCACGGCAACCCTCCTTCATCACCCTCGACCTGACGCTCCAACCAATGTCACAGTAGACGTCTCTGACAAAGCTATAGGCGCACAGTTAGAACAACGACATGGTTGCACTTGGGTACCCATAGCGTTTTTCTCTCGGAAACTCTCAGATGCTGAACAGAAATATAGTGCTTTTGACAGGGAGTTACTGGCTGCATACAGCGCTATCAAACACTTCAAATACTTTTTGGAAGGAAGAGCTTTCAAATTGTTCACTGATCATAAGCCACTCACAACAGCATTTCAATCCCAGGCAGACCGATCCCCACGTCAAACTCGTCACATGTCATATATAGCCGAGTTTACCTCGGATATACAACACATCAAGGGTAAATTTAATGTGGTGGCAGACGCTCTATCCAGGATTTGCAGCACACAGGCCGTTCCAGATGGTTTCCCCTTAGGAACCCCTAGCCAGCTGGCTAAAGCTCAGAGTGATTCGGGAGAAATGGACACCTATCTCTCCAAAGACACCGGTCTGGAGTTTCGATATGTGGAGTCTGATGGTGCGAGAGTACTTTGTGATGTTTCAACAGGAACAGCGAGGCCGGTCATACCTTCATCGTGGACAAGAAAAGTGTTCGATCACGTTCATAGTGTGTGTCATTCTGGGGTTAAGCCAACACAGAGAGCCATTACTGAACGTTTTGTGTGGTTCGATATGAAGCGACAGATACGACAGTGGTGTAAAGAATGTCATCCGTGCCAATCTTCGAAGATTCATCACCACACTCGAGCGCCCTTGGTAAATAGAGCACCCCCTACCTCGAGGTTCAAAAGTTTGCATATTGATCTAGTCGGGCCGCTTCCAAACTGTCATGGTATGTCCTACCTTCTTACAGTAGTAGACCGTTTCACTAAGTGGCCGGATGCGATACCCTTACCAGACACCCAAGCCTCAACGTGTGCATCCGCACTTTTACATCATTGGATATCAAAGTTCGGAGTCCCAGAAGAAATAACATCTGATAGAGGGCCACAATTCACTTCAACCTTATGGTCAGAGTTCAACAAGCTCTTAGGAGTTGAACATCATCATACCACAGCATACCACCCACAAGCAAATGGCATGGTTGAAAGGTTTCATCGCCAGCTCAAGGCATCTTTGAAGTCTCGGGTCACTGGATCTAATTGGTTCAACGAGTTACCAGTCATATTGCTAGGGATAAGGTCCTCGTGGAAGATAGATCCAGGTTGTTCACCAGCAGAGTTGGTGTATGGGACCACACTCAGACTACCAGGCAAATTTTTCCAACCACGGAATGCCCAGACAATAGAACCCGATTCCATTTTTCTTCAGCAATTACAAAAGACAATGCGCAGTATGGAACCAACAGTTTCCAACTACCACGGGAGTCATACGTCCCATGTACCTAGCAATCTTGCTGCAACGGGATATGTTTATGTTCGCCACGACGCGCAGAGAAAACCACTTCAGAGACCGTATGATGGTCCATTCAAGATCTTGAATACCCATGACAAATATTTCACTTTGGATTTGAAAGGACGCAAAGAAAAAGTATCAGTTGATCGTTTAAAGCCAGGATACATTTCAAATGCCAACACTCAACTTGGAAAAGTTTTTGAACACCCTAACGCATCCACCCACCAGTCCATACGGACAGGACGTACAGTCCGGCCACCAGAGAGGTTGGACCTGTAGGGATAAACAATTATTTCGTGCATAGTGCATCGTACTATCCGCACTGTGCACAGCACTGGGAGGGGGGGTAATGTAAGGCCAATATTTTAGCCTTTCACGTCTCCAAAACTTGACTAGTTTTGGGGGGCGACTTTCTGGCCAATTGGTTGTGCACGGGTAGCAGTTTTTCCCCGTGCACTGATGAGTACAAACAAGATCGACTGGAGACTAAAAACTCAACGTGAGAAGAGAGAGCGTCAGTCCTAACCGTAACGGAGACAACACACAGCAGTCGCCGGGCGCCCGGGGATCCACGAGATCTACGCCGTTGGAAGTGAAAGGTAACATAAGATAAATACTACAGTAGAAAACCATACTTGAGTGTCCACTCACTATCAGTCCTTGCACAGGTGGGAGTTTTGTTGTATGCAGAAACAGTCATTAATGACAATGGCTTTAGTGTTAGTCTACTGTATTACCTGTATTACCTGTCCTGGGCAACAACGTCATTGCACATCGGACAGGTCCTTAAATGCTCAGTTCCCCCCAGCACCAAAGCCCGCAAGGTATCCATACTGATTATTCCGTTAGTTTACTAGTAGCGTTGAAAACAATTTTAATCACTGTCTTCTGTCTTCAGCAGTTCCTCCTCATTGCTGGGGAGTTGGAGCATCTGGGGCTGTGCTGTGGTCAGGTCAATGACCTCACAGTAGTGGAGAGTGGGCAGACTGTAAGAATGCTCCCGTGTCTCAGTTCTCTATCTAAATAAGGGCAGTATGGTATGCTGGACTGGTAGGAGGAGTCCTTGATTTGATACATGTGGGTTTTCGAGTCATTCTTCGAGTGACCTGGGAGGTTTGGCCCTTCCTGCCAAGGGTGACTTCAAGTACAAATTTCTTTGGTTATGTTTCCTTTTCCAAACTTTAACCAATTTCCTCTTGAAGGTAATTTTTCCCTTTGCTACATCCAGCAACCTGCTTCACTGTCTCTACACAAGTAACGCACGTGGTCACTGGGTGTCACTGACATTAATGTAACTTGGAAAACACAGTTCTGTGACTTGGAAAACACAGTTCTCTACAACATTTTTAGAAACAACCCACAACATGCAAGAACTATCTTGTCTTTTTTCGTTTGGAGCTGCGATGACTATTCCTCCCCTGAACCTTTCTTCCCATTTTCTCAATGACGTCACTTGCCAGTGGGCGGGTCAAGTCCACTGTACCAGAATCCCAAGGAAAAACTCCAGCTTTACAGAAGGCTGCCTTTAAATTCTTCACTGTTACAGATCCTAACATTGCATTGAACACTAGGGCAGGAAAATCCTTGGTCAGAACTTTTTTGTGTTCCTCGAGGTGCACAGAACAGGCATCACTAAAGCCTTTGGCAAACTGCTCAAAACAGCCAAAATCAAGAGAGGAAGGGGCTGCTGGTGAAACTTGGTTGAGTGGCAGTCTGAACACAACTGTCCCTTGGGAACTCGCCCACTCTAGAATCGACGTGGACAACAAATCACAGGAGTCAGCGTACAACAAAATGACCTGCTCCCCTGTCCGTCGCACTATTTGGGGCAGGAAATGATCTTGCAAAAATTCTTTCAATAAAGAAGGAGTGAGACGCCCGCCATCCGACTGCTTGAAAGACGCTCCCTCCATGCACATTCCAGGCAAATGCGAGTTCTTTCTTGATTTACGGAAGATGAGGAAAGGGGGCAAGCTGTAGCCAAGGGCATTCCCACAAAGCAGAACGGAGCACATAATCTCTTTATGATCTACACTCACATTAGAACACATTTTAGCCCGTGGGTGTGGTTCACCTGCACATAGCAGAACCTCCTCTAGCTTGTATAGGAACTGCGGTTTACTGAGTGTACGGTATCTGTCCAGAACAGACTTAAGTCCTGTACGATACTCATACATAGTCCGAGGCCTACGAAACACACAGGTCTCTACTGTTGCTTTTTCACTGCTCCCAGTTGACTTTTTGAGCGTGGGCCACCGCTGGAGGAAGGCTTTGTACCAGCTACGACTGATGACCCTGTCACTGGCAACCGTTCCAATCGAGTGCGCAAGCTTGGTGGCTAGGGCCAGGATGTCAGCTTGGCTCAAGGCCTGGCCAATCATCTCCATATGTTTCATGTGCTCCACCATCTGTCGTTCTGTGTCTTCATCTAAGATTTTGGTCTTTAGAGCATTGGGCCTTCCACCTAGTCCGAAAGGGCTCCGGTCATTGATCCGATCGTATAGTGTTGATTTTGGGATTCCACACATGCGGGCCACTGTGTACACAGACAGACCCTTTTTCTTGATGGCATCATAGGCTCTCTGGAGGTCCTCGGGTGAGTATCGCCCATAGTGCTTGGTGGAAAACTTCCGCTTCTGAGGACAAACATTATATCACATTATTTCTCTTCAAGAGTGGCATTAGCAGTCATGACTGTCAGGAAGTTTACAGTAGAAGTTGCCTATGACTAAAACATACCAAATGTGAACAAGTACATCAATAGTCCTTCCTAGGAAAAAAAATGAATGAAAACAAATGAAATGTGATGTCCTACTTTTGACATTAGAGGAGTGATGTCCATAACCATTCTGTAAACAATATAAAGTGGAACTGGCATTTCAAGATAGACTAGTTTGACAATAATCCCATCCAGGGTTAAAAAACTACAAGCACTCAAGACTTGTGTCATAATTGAAGAATTGAAGACTAGCAAACACCTCTTATGATATATCATATGCAGGCTGAAAGCCCATAGACGCTGTAAGATCATTTAAAAGGATGAACCTCTGTAAATAATGTCCATCTCTGGTAGGACTGAGTCAAATGTGTCGAGAGCCTTGAAAACTACCTAAACAATCCAGATTAAAGCATGTCACATTGGAGATTCAAACCAGGATTATCCCCAGTGGCAACGGTTGTCCTGCATGACATTGACTGAGCCACATACTTCCGATATCACTTTGATGAAAGTACACTAAACAATAAAAACGAAAGAAGCCAACAAGTCTGCACATTCTTCATGATAGCTTTGAAGTGAAATATTGTATTGTGTAATCAGACTAAAGACGCTGAAATCAAGATTTCTGAGTCATACTTTAAATGTTTAATAACGATATACCAGAAAAACAATCTAAATATGGGCTCTAAAAATGAACTTGAAGAAGCAGTTCTCAGCCTCACTCACAGCAATCTGAAACTTCTTTTGATCGCAGCTCAGGAAATCTCAGCAGGTTAAATCGGTACAGGTCAGAGCCCAGTGCAGTGGTCACACAAGAAAATTGTGTTAGCAGTAAGGGACTTGAAAACAGAACAGTACTTGAGATGCACCCAGTGGGGACATTTACTACATTGACCCCAGTGGATGGGGGTGGATGACACTTCCCCTGAGGTGAAATCAGGCTCCAGTTTCCCACACACACAACACACTTCCTCTGCCTCTGAGACAGAGCGGAAACACACAGCACTCGGCAGTTGGACTCCTCCATGACGTGAGGACTTTCCTCCTTCTGTCTGGAGCAGTCGCCTTCGTTTCTTTCTCCCACTGTCCACTTCACGAGACACATTAGTACCGGTACTTGGACAAGAACGTTTCTTGTCAAACATTGACTGAAATGTGTACGGCAGTAAATGTTCTTTCGTCAATTTCGATGTATCAAATGGATAAATCCCAGCCTTTTCAAAGTAAGCTCTTATTGACTTGGCAGAGATTTTCTTGTCCATAGTGGCCTGAACCAGTCTAACTAAGAGATTGCTATCACAGTGCTCATTCCCACATTCAGCATATAATTCTCTGAACACTCGTGAAAAGTTGGACACACAGCCAAAGTCTAATGGTTGACTAGAAAAGGAGCGGTGAGGAGGGTCAGGGTTCAGGATAACTTTTCTCTCTCTTGCAAAAGTGGTCAGTTCTTTATCAATCTCTTTATTCTGGTGGTCATACAGCAGCAGTGCCTGGTCACCCATTCCAATACAAAGGTGTTCGAAGAAGTGGCTTTCAATAAATCTCTTCAGTATCTGCGAATCAGCTAAACCTGTGGCAGACACACAATGGGACACCCCTCCATTAGGGCAGAGTTTGGCACTCGGGTCTCTGAGAACAAAAAACAAAGGCAGAATGTGGCCTGCGGCACTGGCACAGATCAGAACACTGGCTAAAACCAGGTCACCAGGAGACAGTTGGGATCGCCGTTTAACCATCGGTGGGGCATGGTTTAACTTTTTCTCTTCACAAAAAACAATTTCATCGAGGCTGAAGATCAAATGCGGCTTCTTGTGTAATGTGTGGTCAGTACTGTGCAGAAGAGACTTTAGTTTGTCATAGTAAGCAGTCACATTCTGCAGCCTGCTACATTGCCCCTCTTTGCCAGTGGTTATCGATCCAGACCCGTCTTTGGCAAGCAGGGTCCCTTCTCCAGATAGGAGGCCAGGCCACCGTTGCTCAAAGCTGATCAGCCAGCCTCTTGTCAGAGTTCGGTTTTTTGACAACGTTCCCCCTACTTGTGCCAGCATGGACGCCAGAGAGAGAACTTCGCTTTTCGTTACATGATGACCAGAAGTCTGGAGTAGGCGAACATGTTCCACCATTTGGCACTCTGTCTCTGGGTCAAGAATCTTGGTTTTGTTTGCATTAGGTTTTCCCCCCAAGTTGAAGACGTTCCTGTTATTGACCCTGTCGTGGAGAGTGGACTTCGGGATGCCGTACACCTTGGCAGCCATATGGATGGAGAGTCCGTCGCTAACAATGGCTGACCATGCAGCAGCCAGGGCATCAGGACTGTACTGGCCGTACTTCTTTGCCTGCAACACATCGGGACACGAGATGAAGGGTTGCAAATAGTCGCACTATTATTCTGAGTGACTCTGAGTGTCCCCCTCATCCACAAAACCCCTTTGCGTGTCTCCTTAGACAAAATCAAATATCTTCTGTCAAATAGACATATCCATTTCTTGTTCCTCCCCTGTTCCTGCCCCCTCAGAATTCTCTTTCTTTCTTTTCATCCTTCTTCCTCTTAACTGGCTTGAACTAAGTTGTAACCGCATTGCTCATCCTGAACTCACTCAACCTAAATTTGTGCAATCACAAGAAAATTCATGAATGACTTTCTATAAAAATAAAGCAAGCTGAAATTACTGTGAAAAAAAAGACTATTCATTGACCATCATTTGTCTTGAGAAGAAATGTAAAAGTTGGCTATCAATCTTAAGATATTATGATTATGCCTTCATGGGCAGATGAAAAAAAATGTCTTTGGAACAATAATCAGAAGCATGCATTTCTCAATATTCGAAAAGGATAGCAAAAAGGGTGCAAGTACAAATGAGTTTTCCAACAAAAAACCTTGAACCAATTTGGCTGTCCACCTTTGAAGGTTGCACATGCAAATGGCTTCCTTGTCACAATTGACAATGAGGCACTGGACAGTGTCCAGAAGGTCAAACAAAGTCTAGTCCAAGCAACCACAGCACTATTCATAACTGGGTGCTCACAACCACACTCTAGCAAAAGGAATATGTTACTGCCTCAGAAGGCACACAAGTTCACACACCCACAAACTAACAAACAAACATAATGAAAAGCCAACCATCAACTTGAGCTGTCGCATATTGGGATAATATGTGTCACAATCATCAATCATCATCAATGCCTTTCACCCTTGGCAGGGTATAGGCCACATACAAGCTCCTTCCATTTATCTCTGTCCTGGGCCATCCTTTATAGCTTATTTGTCAGAATCAACCTTATGTAAATTCGTAAAATCTTGGATTGTTTTAGTTAAAGAAAGAGTTTTGTGGCACTTAATTGCAAAACAATTAGTTCAAATGATTTGCTGAAGATTAGAAGTCTTACAAGAGAGTAACAAACACAAAACTTGAAGGAGGGATAAGGACAATAGATTTTTATTATGAAAGAAGGAGCAAACTATGCTAGAGCATCCACCAACCACTCACAAAATCTTGGACAATTAGCTCCAAAGTCAACAAGAATGTGATGTCATGCTTACTACAACCCACAGACCAAGCAACTCCAATCTAACAAATCTGAGTTTTAAAAAAGCCAGTCACAAATAATGTAAAAGCAGTGTTATCTTTGCCCCACAGATGTTCATTAACTAGCTTAATTAAAGTTAATTTGAAAGCTAAAAATTAGCAATGCCAATGAAAATTTAAATTTTCACTTTTACCCCCTTTTTTTTGGTACCTAAGAAAGAATTTTCAATTCTAAGAATTATGCTTCTTGAATTTTGAGAATCGGTTCATAAATTAAAAAGTTATGGGGTTGTAAAGGTCGGCAAAATATGGATGACCCACATATAGGAAAATACTCCTAAAAAGTGGACCACGCAGTAGCAGATTCTGTAAGAAAATCGACGATATCTCGGAAACTAATCGGAGTGTTCCAGAGAAACTTGGCTACCCGATGTGTTTTTGAGTGTAGAAATCATTTCTGCAGTCAGATTTACTACCAATTTCGTAGTTATTTTGTTATAATTAAAATTGTGGTGTACATATTACGATTTTGCGAAAAAGGGGTGTCGGAATGAGTCCATTTTATTTATAGCATCGTATCACAACATGGGATCTTTAAGAATATATGTCAGCAGCGTGACTAAATAATTGCAAAGCTTTTTATGATGACTTTAGACCATGCCAACCATAAAACATAAGTTAATTCAATCTAGCATGCCGTACAATTAAAAATTCTTTTTCCCCGTTGAGACGCGAACACCCCGAGACGATGATAACCTCGCCTCGGAATACCCCCATAGCGATGTTACAGGGGAATAGAGAGAAAAACAACCGGATGCGCGCGCCCGCCATTGCCCTGTTTCAAGTGACCAATGAACGGGCCCGGAATAGTCATGCGGGGATTTGTAGGTCACATACATTTGCAACGAGAGTGAGGGGAAAATGGCCGGTCTCCGTGCGAAGCCGCTTTGGATAGGGGGGTGCATTTATGATCGGGTCTAAACAACTACTTGACACAGAACGTTCAAATTTGAGCACACTATAGAGGATAGATAGATCTATTACCATCTCGGCGTTGAAATTCAAACTCCTTATAGTTTTCGGTGTACACGATACGAAAGTGTTCCCGACACCAAAAGTATAGGTTATTTTATGTGTACGAACTTCAACGTCCACATATCATTAGTTTGCCCTATTTTCTAATTGGTTGCCAAGTTTCATTCGGATTGGTTCGGAAATAGAGCAGACCGAGGTTGAAAAAGTTAGTCACCTACGTTTCGGCCGGGTCCGCAAAATCGCCCGTAAGCGGGGACCAAATTTTCGCCTCGCGGGAAAGCCCGATTGGCATTGCTATAAAAATGAACATCCAGCTGACTCTTCATTCAGTTTTCAAACTAAACATTGCAGTAGGTCTCTTATGATGAAATATTTGGCACACACATCTATGCCTCAACAGATACTTTCTAAATCTAAAGCTATAGCCTCCAAAAATTTTGCAGATTATAAAAGTGATATATATATAATTTTAAAATGTTACTATTTACCTTTGAGCCACTTCTAGGCGGAGAGGAACTTAAAGCTTTCTTTGACTTTGAACATGTCCCACCACTGATGCTGGCCTCATTAACCTCTGCTTCTTCTTCTTCCTCATCTTCTTCTTCTTCGTCATTATCTTCAGTATTTTCATCTTCATCTTCCTCATCATCTTCATTATCGTAATCATCAGGCGTCGCTGTCAGCGTTTCCGAGCTTTGCACCAACTCTTCCCGTCCAATAGCATGGCCAACACTGCTCCCTACAGATGGCTCTGAGCAGCCATTTTCTTTGTATGACTGGAGAGGGAAAAATAAAATAAGCTGATTTCATACTTTTCTCATATTTTAAACAACTGGAGACAAACATACAAAGTCAAATAATGGAAAAACATAAGACGACAAAATATACCTTGATAACTAACATGGCGATGTGAAAAAAAAGCATTCTCTGTCTGCAATCCCACAGCTACAGGACCAAGAAAAAAAAATGGGATGTTACATGAACAGGATCTTAGCCTTATTTAATTCCATTGTACTCGTATTGCCACCAGTGCTTGTATTTCATAGGACAACAGTTTGACGTATTAAAAACAGAAACCTTAGATTATCTTTGCTTTCACCCTTAGACCCACCCATTGGCCAACCAATGCCACTCCTCCCCAGTATGCACTACAGTTTGAGGAACTCTTTTTCTCAGGTGGCCTTACAATCAGGATGACAAACCTCTGGCCTCTGGTTACCAATGAAAGCTTTTGTGTTGGAGTGCCACTGCACTTTCACTGGCACTGGAGAGATTTCATACTCACACCACCCTGACCATCAACACCATTAAGGACTCACGTGGATGTGCAACATCAATGTCTACCGTATACACTATACAGTAGTGTAGGAGTTGTGTAACACCTACCCCCAAATTGCATCCCTACCCACCTTCCTCGCCTGGTGGCACGGCATAAAGGTTAGAGCTAATGGAACCAAACTTGATAGTTTTGTTTCAAATCAGGGCTAAGTGGGCAAGGAATTTCTCTTTCCGTGTCCACGTTAGACAGGTTTCCATTTATAGAGGTAATTATTGAGGAATTTATCAAGGAAGGAGCAGGGAGATTCTTATAACAGGTTTTTTATTTAAATCAGGTTTCCGTTAAGGCAGGTTCGACTGCATTGTCTTTTGCATGCAACTGTGAAGAGAAGCGCCTAACCGACACATCACAGATACCAGTGAGCCTTATTTCAGAGCCTAGAGAGAGCCTATGTTCTGAAATTGACAGTCCAACCTGCTCTAACGGCCTCCAATATAAGACAGAGGTACAAATGATCACTTCCCTGTGTAAGACTGGCACCTGTCTAATATGGCCAATTTACCTCAACAATGGGTGGCCATCTTTGACAGACTCAATTGTAAGAGAACCCAAAGTGAGATCAGAAATGATTAGAGGTGTACATTTACAAGATGGAAGTGGTTACTCTCACCCCTGAATAACCTATGTCTCCCTATTCTCACCCCTGAATAACCTATGTCTCACTATTCTCACCCCCTCGATTTACCGGAAATGACCCTAGGGCTGAGATTACCGGGGCTGATGCTCCACAAGATCGTGTTCGTGTCCGAATAGTCACAGTACAGTCAGGGCTGTCAGTGTCAGTTTGGAGTTAAATCCCAGAAATTTGGCTCTTTTGGATTGCGCCTGGCCCGGAAAATTTCATTTGGCTTTTTGGCTCCAAACTTTGAATTTTAAAGAAGAAGGGGAAAGAAGAAGCAAGGAAAAAAGAAAAAGGAAAAATAAAAGAAAAACAAATGAAAGTGAAGAAAAGAGCTTGGGTTGTTAAATTATTCAACTAGATCTAGCTAACACGATTTATCGTCCTCGCCCACTTGGTCTGAATAAATTTACAACCCTTCTACCATTGTGCAAGAGCATTTGTCTTGTGCTCGTGTCTCGTTACGTTCATACACGCTCTCTGTTCCTTGAACCACAATTCATTGTGTGCAAGCAGAGAGGCCTAAATGTGTAAACAACGAAAGGTCTGCCGGCCGGACCAACATCCCGCGCAGTAGCGCGGGTAGTGAGACATATTTTTTACAAGAGAGGTGAAAAATGTTTTTACATTATTCTGCATCGTAATTTTCCATATATATCCTATATCCCGACTTTAGTTCTGTAAGAGCGCTCCTTCATCTCATGGGATGGAACGCTTGAAGCAGAACGAACTATTACATTAAAAAAATATAGATCCACATCACTGCCAATGTCCGGGGGGGGGGGGGGGGGGGGGGGGGGGGGTGAGAACAACGGGTCATGAGAATATAGATGGCCTCACAAGATAGTTCACCCTCTTAAAAGAAATGTACACTTATAAATGTTGTTACCACCAGCATTGCTGGCAATATCTTTTCAAACAAACTTTACTCTACTCTTCAGGCAGAAGATGTGTCATTACCATTACCAAAATAAGAGTAGTATCAAATGCGCATAAATGCAGTTGTCGCAAATAGCATTTTTGAGGACAATAATATTACTTAAAGTATCTCAAACAGAGGAGTGAATGAAACATCCTGTAAAGTAGTCTTTAACTTGATTTGAGACAACAAGTATTTTTTAAATTGGCATGGCTTGGAGGAAACAGGTGAATTGATTGCGGGAACTAATTGTTAGAACTTTATTAACCTCACCTTTCCTTTTGTACTGTGTTAGATGTTATAGGGAGGTGCAATTTGCAGTTAAGGGCTAGGAGGGTGGCCTACATTATATCCCCAAGTAACACTTACCACAGTAACAGTCAAGCCAACATCAGAGATCTGGTGACCATCGTCCAGTAACTCTGGCAACAGTTGTCGCATCGGCACTGAGCCTGAGGTGGAAGCAGTTGGGGTCACCGGGTGGTTGTGTGACAGAGACACTTGCTTGATGCACAGGGCACCCAGGTCTCGGTCAGCCACAGCGATCACATGAGCTGGACACTGCAGTTTTGGAGGGGACTGCCGTACAGTACCAGATTTAAAATCAGCCCTCCCAAGCTGCTTACAACCTAGTCTCACACTCCTATTGATGAAACACGAAAATAAAAAAAAGCAATTACGTTATAAATGGCTGAGAAGTGTATTTTGCAGCACCACTTTAAACTTCAAATTTCAACATTAACCATATGGAGCACATAAGGTATTCATAATCAAAGGAAAAAAAACCGCTTCTCATTTGATCCCAAAATTCAAATGCCTAGATACCGTAACACTACTACAGACTAAAGCAGTTTAGTAAAGTTTCAGCGTTTATCTAGGACATGTTCGGTGTGTAACAACAAAGAAAACAAATTGACTCTAGCTTGGAACCAAATTACTTTTTGTAACAAAGTCTACACAGTGTAATGGTACTGCAGTAGGCCTACTCCTCAGCTCAGACTGTACAACTGTACATTACAGTCAGTACAGTCAATGAGTACAGGTACACTGTGGGTCACCAGATCATACAGTAGTCTCCGCCTAAGATCCCACTGCTTACAATACAATAATCTCGGTTCGCTGAAGATTCCGCTGTTTAAAAAAAAAAAGAATTTTAAATATACAAAAGTCACCCTTAAGATCCCGTACTTCAGACCATAATTTACGGAACAAAAACCAGGGGGGCACAGCCGATCAGCCAAAAGCGAAAATTTGCGATCATTGAATGACCCATTGCCTCACAGATCAACCACTCTCATGAATGGGATCACATGTGTGTTGTGTCAGGATAAAATGGTACAATGTTTGCCCAGACAATGTTTTTTCAAATTATATATATATCAATCCTTATTGCCTAAACATCAAATCATTGTGAAATGCAGGGGGTCCTGAAACCCCCCAGATTCTTTTTAGGTCAGGGGGCCATAAACCCCCCATGCTATTAAATTTAGTCAAATATTACTATACTATTTTCAAACATCAATTAGATAGATCTATAACTCAATAACTACTGATTTGCGGCAAAAATGAAGGGTATTTTATATTCATGTTCAGCATGCAAAATACTACTTGAAAAGAAGAATATAAACGTGAACATGAGACGGGTACATGAGTAAAAAAAAAGTTATTTTTTTACTTTCCCTCCCGTCTCACACTTAGCTACCCGTTGACCATTTACAACTAAATATTGATGAGCTGAACACGAAAATCAACTTCATTTCTGTCGCAAATTAATAGTTTTTTAAAGTATTTTTGTCTGTTCTTAATCGGGATAGACGTGCTTTGGACCAATCTGGGGGTTCCAGGGGGGGGGGTGGGGGCCTGCCCCCCTGTGGAAAAAGGATGTCCCCCTGTCCATAATTTGATATTTTACAGAAGTTAGATTTGAAATTTTCTTGAAAATAATTGATTTGCGACAGTTTCAGAGTCTAGTGGCTTAGTGTGATCTGCGGCAAACAGTATACTGCAGTTTGACCCCAGAAGCAGTGCATCTGTGTGCGGGAGTGAAAGTAAAAATTTACCAAAAAAAAAAGATTGTTCATCAAAAAGAAATCCCCACAATCTTCATTTAGGCCTAGATCATGTTTGTCTAGGTCTACCCGACCCTGAGCCAAGGGGGCGCGGAAACTTTCTGAAGCCCAAATCATAAAAGATTTCCCCTACCGGGTCTGTATACTTCGTGACTTTGTAGCTGTAGCAAGGTTCACTTCACCAGTCAAATGACCCAAAAAAAACTAGAGACACAGACACAGCTTTATATATATACACCCCAGACCCTATGTTCCCAGAAGCCCTGAATCTCAAGACAATTGAGAACTGCTCATGGAGTGTTTACAATGAAAGGGAAACAACTGATAATATAATGGACAAGCAACTGTGGTGGATCATAGATTATGTCCCATATCATTACAGTAGCCAACCCGGTAACCGGGTATGGAATGTTGGGTGCAATCTGTCGATTTGCGTGATCCATCGATCGCGCAGCGCATGTGGTTGATTGAGTAAACATGCGACAATCCATTGATTGTTGCGCATTCAGTTGATCAGAAGATCGCGCAGCGCTTTTTGTCGATCCATGAAATATATATATATATATATACTTACTGTGCATTTTGTTGATAAACTATGATGATGAAGTGAAAAAAAAGAAAAGAAAATTGGTTTACTGAGCATGTCAGTCTTTGAGCGTCCTGTTGTTTTGCTTCCAAGAAGAGTTGTGTGTCGAACTTAAAGTGTTGACGGTTGAGTGAGGCAGAAATCGACACGACGTTAAATCGAGCACCTGCACTCAGTATTTGGACGGATTTGATAGGCTGAGTACGTCACGTGGTATTCCAAATACGGTCAAGATTTAATGGCTTGTGATAAATTGTTGTTGATCAACAGAATGCGCAACAATCATGTCAAACTTCTCTTTTGTCAGTTGAACAGACCCTGGGTTTTTAGACAATAACTGGGCTTCTTCCTCCATTATCGCGGTGAACTGCTCCATATTGAATAAGTGTTTGGAGTGATACTCACCGACCTATAACCCTGATTTCAACTTCCATTATTGACGTTATTGCGATGTAGATCTACCCTGACCTCCAGTTACTTCCATTCAGTTTCGGTTTGACTTTGGAGAGTGAAACTAAATCTCTAGATCTAAATTACACTCTGGACGACAACAAAACATAACAAAACACAACAAAACTCAGGGGTAAGATCTATAAAATGTGCAACCAAACGGATCGACAAAAGCGCTGCGCGATCCGCTGATCAACAGAATGCTCAACAATCAATGGATTGTAGGGCGTTTCCTCGATCAACCAAATGCGCTGCGCGATCATTGATCGCGCAAGTCGACAGATCGCGCCCAACAGATACAATCCCATTAGTAGACGATCTAGCCTCCTGGCTAGAATCTAGATAATTCAAGGAACAGTGGGCTTACTTGTACTTAAGTATTTCAGGAAACTTTCCTTCCCCAGCCGCCACTTCTCTGTTGGCTTGCTCCACTGACTTGCTACATGAAAGCACCGATACTGGACCTCTCATTGCAGTTTCGACCGCGTCCTGCAAAGACTGAAAAGAGCTGAAGGTTCTGCACACAGAAAGCTCTTCCATTTTTCTTCTTTCGAATTCGAGACCATCAATTTCACCAATAACGGAATAACGGGAATCATGCATGAATAAAAATCAACTTTTGGAAAGTGAAGGGGCTAGATCTAAGTTGAATAATATAAAAGTCTCACTGACTCCAACATCACTACATTCCTGTTCACTGACATTGATTCCAGCACATCGATCATGCATGTTCTAACTTGGGCTACACTAGATATCTAGCTAGATCTAGCTGCTCTTCGCAGTTCGCAGCACTGCAACTGCAACAATTTCCTGCAGCAAAAGACTGTAGTACTGTAGCCTACTGTAAGCTATCTCAGGACAAAAATCTGGCCGCAGATATCCCAGATTTTCAAGCCATTAAAGACTAAGCTTAATCATTGAGCCCAAACCACAGAATTCTACACTTTTAAAATTCTAATTAATTCTTAGTGATAGATTTAACCTACTACGCAGACAGTGGATATTAGCAATTGCGATTTTCTCGTCTATTAGGGGGGTACTCAAAACCCTAGATTCAATATTTGCTTTATTCACCTGTTCTTTCCCTGTCACCCGTCTGTTTATGTGTTTTTTTTACTCTTTTGTCAAAGTTAGCCCTAGGCCTATTATCATCATCGAGAGAACTTTTGTACTTTTGCAGTATATAATATGTCAATAATATGCTGCAGAAACCAACTAAAATAAAGCCTTAGATCCTGTAGTAGGCCCACAGGATGCCTGATAAATTTAATGCAAACAGTAGCCTATTCATCTGTGATAGGCCTTGGCTAACATTGCATTGCGTGATATGAGTGCAATCAGCTGCAATAATCAATGCTACCGATTACAGAATCGAAATGTGAATACTGAAAGCAAAGGTAGTTCATAATGAGTAGATGTGTGAGTCCACTGGTATACTCGAGTATTTAACCTCTAAGAGTATTTATTCGAATAATTCTAATACTCGAGCCCAAAACAACCAACTACTCGATTAATTATGCGAATACTAGCTTTTTTTTCCAAACATGGGGAGCATTAAAAAGAAACAAAGAATCTGCAATTTCCATAATTTTTTTGTTTGCTGCAGCATTGTTTTTTATGGGTTTTTTTAATCCGTTATACGCACTATTCAGATGATCTCAGGGACTTGAAATTGAACATTTGTATTGTCTTTACCGTTCCTAAACATGCCTCCTGATTTCAGCATGACTTGCCGAATGGTGTCTGAGCGTCTACCCAAATTTTTTAAAATCGATTTTTAAAACTTGGTTTAGTGGTGTCTGACTGTTGCTTTTGGAGATGTATTTTCCAAATGATTGTCTTTTGCTCTCCCTGAGGCATCTGTGATCTGTGATTAGGCGCGTTGCTATTGCACAAGGGGAGACCCGAGTTCAATTCCCCAGAGGAGAAAACTTTTATCAAGTGCCTTAGTCTTTCTGCTATGTTGTATCTCTCAGCCCAGCTTGGCCCTGACAGGCGGGGGCCGAAGCCTGCCCTCTAAATTATCTCAATAAATTCAGTGAGGGACATAAAACTGTCACATTTGTCTCCATCTTTTTGTTTTCTGCCTATTCCTCTGTCCCTGTCTGTCTGTCTGTCTGTCTGTCTGTCTGTCTGTCTGTCTGTCTGTCTGTCTG